CCGAGCAGCTCGGCATTTTATTTTGCTGGAAATTCAGCAAAAAATTTGTTTGTTAGCTGAGATCTCGGCAAAATTCCCGTTTGTTAGCTGAATCTCGGCAAGTTTTTCACTGAGATCCAAGCAAAATAAAATGCCGAGCTGCTCGGTGGTGCCCATCTCGGCGAAAAAATCTAAGTGTGTAGTTTCTTTTAAGATTTTTAGGTGTATACATAGATTTCACCAAGGGGTAAGACAGCTCTTAATCATTAGCAATTTCAGAGTTGCTTTTGAGGCACCTCGAGTAACTCACATTGCGCAGTGAGCAAAATCGCTGTCATTTGCTTTCTCACTTTTCGCATCGAAGCAACATTTGGAGGTGCGAAGCCGAAAAGCTGCTGTCAAACATAACAACAGCAAAAGGAAACATCTGGCGTGAAGTGATAGAAAAACTCAATCCGCCGGACCAAATACTTCCGATCCGAAAAATTATGTGTACCCCGTACGTCATCTGATACTAGTAGCAGCGATCCCGTTACCATTGATGGACAACCTGTCACTGAATAAATCTGTGATCTGAGCTCTGGATTACTACGGCGACGTTCTGCTGCCAGCGGGTACCATCCCACTTCTGGTGCTACTGATGTGGCTTCAGGATAATCGTGATATGGTGCGATACACCACCAATATTTTTGTGCGGCCGTTGACGGAAGTTTATATTTCTGCGTGTATTTTTCTTACAGAAAAAAAAAAAAACATTTTTTTTCGTTAGTTTAATGGTGTATTTTATCTATTATGTATTATATCCGGAGCATGTTTCTCGTCGGCAAAGTCCATAACGATGATCCTGTACTTGTTCAGATCAGATCTACTATTGACAATCTTGAGATTGCCAAGGACCCTTTACTTAAACTCTTTCTGAACCATATGCAGGATTCGATTTCGTCCAGTAGATCAATGATGGGATTGAAGTCCGGACGACGATCGAGGATCATACTCACCGGCTTCGGCAATGGCGGCTACACTGGCCTCTTCTATACCGGTGATTTCACGTTCTCCTCGGTGGACATCTGAAAACGATCCCTCTGGTTATTTGATGAGAACAAATAAATAGCCTGGTTCCACTTACTTTTAGTTAATTCACATCCATCTTTTCGAGAAGGAAGATGTAACCCTGAACGTTCTCCAGAGCTGAACTATAGAAACGAAAATGGATGGTTACATGTGACCAGTAACTTAAGCGCCACCTTCAAAACGAAGGGTCACTGGTACGGTTTATGTCCGGCCAAAGACTCTTTACTCCGGGCAGGTTGTTTTTCCCAACTCACTCGAATTTTCTCCTATCACCACACTCGAAACCAATCCAGGCATTAACAATAAAGGAAACCAACTTCAAACCTATGAAATTTATAGCAAAAGAAACTAAACAGTACCAAAGAAAAGTGCTCGAAATTAAACTTCTAAAAAAAATTCGAGTTATATGATGGAGACACGTTGTCTTTCTTCTTTCCTTTATTTAACGTCGGTCTCTGTTCCGCAATCTAGTGCCAATCACCGACGGACATCGGTTGCCATCCATTGACGGCAATCGAATGTGCAGGAAGGCAGCTTCCACACCTGCGTAGGATATCGCACCCATTCAACACACATGGGCCGGGACCAACGGCTTTACTTCCCTTCCGAAGGAAGACGTGACCAGAGATTTTATATGCCTCAGAAAAATCCCACCGACCTCGGCTGGGATTGAACCCAGACCCATTGGGGTGAGAAAAGCAGTCACGCTTACCACTACACCACCGGCGCCGGCTAGACACGTTGTCGTTCACGCCAAAATCATATTCAGACGACCAAATCTTAACAATAGAAATTTAATCGAACCTGATTCTAAACCATTTCCCGAACTAATTAATTAAGAAAAGCAAAATTCAGCGTTTTTTGAAGGGTTTAATTCGCGAAAGAGTGCAAAACAAAAAAAAAACTACGGACTAAAGGCACCTAACTTCTAATTTACTTTATATTTACAGTTTTTACAATTATTTACAGCCTTGGCGAATGGCTACGAGCTCGATTTTCAACATGTGCACAAAGAACGTTCTTACTTGGGAGCCGGCGTGGCTTGCAGGTCCAACGATGGCTGACTCGTGATGGCGTCGACGCACTGAACTATCTCGGTGAGGTTTCCAATCGTCGTAGCCTAGCCTGGCCGCACAGCGGATTCGACGGGTAAATTTTCGCCCTGGAATTGAATTTGGTGGTTTGCTGCTTGCCACCTAGCGACGACCGAGTGTTCGAGCGGCACGAACGGGACTTTGTCTCTCCAGACTAAACACCCACGTTGAATGGGATAAGTCTCCTTATAGTCCGACCGACTTTGCTTGACACTCTTTTTGAATTTAAGAAATACTACCGAAAATATTAGCAAATCAACCGTTCAAGATTTAACCCACGAGAAACAACTTTGGTCTAGAAATGATTTCACCTTATCTCGTCAACGGTTTCCGGTAGGGGTAAACAATAGTTGCAATTTCCAAACCTACGACTCGATGCCTTCCTTCAAATAACAACTGAAGTGCGGTAAAAAATCGGTAGAACTGTTTCAAACACACAGTTGGTACATGAGCGGGTCGGTCTTCACCTCTTTTTGCCAGTGGTGGCGGGGGGGGACACCCCTCACCATCCCTCTCCAAAGGGGGAGTTTGGTAAAGAGAGATGAAAAAACCGATTTGTACCTTCCTTAAAAGTTGTCCTAGCTCGCTTGTCTAATATCTATATACAATCTTCACACTGCCGTACTCTAACGGAACTATCAACTCTATGCTTTCATCTACTCCATCTATCGTATAAAAATTACCACTACAGTCTGTTATTTGAAATTAGCATCTTCAACTATAAATAAGGACCTTAAATTTTGACAACCGTGGCTCGAAAACCGGTCGATCGACAGCACAGGGATTTTCGAACATAGAAAATAACTTTCGAAATGTCACTTTTAACCACGAGTTAAATTTAACTCGGCAAATGGTTCACAGCCAGTATTGAAATTAAAAACATGTAAAAAACAGGTTTGTTACAAAGAGTATACGAACAAAAATCACTTCCAAAACAGTTATAGCAACTGCTGAAGGAGGCCCCCTTTGGAATCATTCCCAGCATAGTTCGAGCCGTTTTCCGGAAAAAATTCCTTTCGATCCAAGTGGTACTGGAATTCACATCGTTTTAATAGCAGATCTGAACAATCTTACTATGTTTACAAACGAAACTGACGTCTAATATGAGATAAATCTTTTCAAAGAGAGTAAACGGAGTAGGAAGAAAGAAAGAAATCGATGAACGTCGATTAAATTTTGAGGTACATTGAGTTACTCGCGAGTTACTTGCTGCAAAAAAGCAGCTCAGAGTAAAGCAGTCTTACCCCTTGGATTTCACCTTTTCTACCACTGTAGCAGCAACCTAATTTAATTAAAATGCTCAATTTGCAAAATAAATGCATTTTAAGATTGCATTCGTATACCTCCCCGTGGAAGATTGAAAACTACATAACTTTCATACACACTTAATCTAGCTCGGTAAAATCTCCAACAGCCGATTACCTCGGCATTTACTTTTGCTGATATCTCTGCAAAATATCTTTTTCCCTAATAAAAATGTTATGGTTAATTTGCTTAACGACGTGTTCAGGGTATCATCCTAACAATTGCTGGAATAGTTCAACCATTGTGGTTATCGTTCGCGTGTGGTAATTTTTTATTAGGGTTGTTAGCTGATATCTCAGCAAAAAGTTATTTGTTAGCTGAGTCTCGGCAATTGTTTTACTGAATCTCAGCAAAACAAACTGCTCGGCTGTTGGAATCTCGGCGAAAAATTTTATGTGTGTAGTTCTTCTATTCTCCACGAGTACACTCAGGTCTTTTTTTACACGGGGGATACGTACCGTGTAAAAAAAAACCTACGAGATTTTGATTTTCGCATGCTTAAATGTTTTTAAAAAATCGGATTTTGATGCCATTTGTAATTAAAGCATGATATGGTCCATATAGACATATTTTAAAAATTTCTGTATTTACACCAAAAATTGTGATTTTTTTTTTAAGTATGCCATTCGATTGCAAATAGCTTGAAACGGATAATGTGATTGGAATCAAGTCGATAGGTTGTATCGTTGTCGAGAAATCGTTAAAAACGTACCGTGTAAATCGTGGAAAACCGTGTAAAAAAAAACCGCGTAAAAAAAACCGTGTAAAAAAAGACTTCAGTGTATTAACTTTGGTTTACCAATTGCCGAGCCAATTGTAGCCCAGTGGCAAGAGCGTATAGGCAACATGTTATACCGTGACAGCGGGCCCAGCACTGCAAAATAAATGATTTGAGCCCGGGACATGCTGCCTATTGTCAAATAATGCTATAAGCCTTGTCACAGGCCTGGCTAATTGTAATACCCCGTTCACATTACAGCGTATATCACGTGATATTCGCTGTCTTGCAATGAGCTCTCATACATCTAGTTTTCACTGGAAATCCAATGCATGAGTGCTCATTGCAAGGCAGCCTATATTACGTGATATAGGCTGTAATGTGAACGGGGTATAACGTAAGAAAATTTATTGTTTAAATATTACGTAATAAGTGCATGGTTCCTTTTTACAATCATTTTTCAGTGGCGACATCTGGCAGCAGTTTTTCCTAAAAATCGAAATGAAAAGATCGATCAAAGGTCGCCCAATCCTAGTTTGGCTATCAAATACAAACTCAGGGGAAACATGTCAGAAAGGTCTAACTCGAAACGTAAACAATGACTTTGATCGTTGGTTTCTCACGAATGACAACACACCTACTCAAACTAACTAAATAATCTGACAGAACAATGCTTGTTCTATGAGCTGGTGTAGTCAGATTCCGTGGGCGTGTAGTCATTCAAGAGAAATCGACGTTCAAAGTAATTGTTTGCATTTCGAGTTATACCCTTCTGACATGTTTCCCCTGAACACATCAAAATTTAATTTTGACAAGAAGGTACACGACGACGACGAGGACGACCCGGAGAGAGAAGGCCAACACCGGATAGGAATAAGTTATTGTACAAAAGTGTGAGGTTTTACGTTCTTCGGCAAATTTAAACATCTTTTGATACACTTACAATGGCAGCTAAAATAAATCAATCTGATCGTAAACCTAAGGCCAAATCTACTGATCTCAAAAATATTTGGAAACGGGCCATTACTCAAAACTCAGAATGGGCTGAAAAGGTAGGTTGTAATTTGAGGTATGATTAAGATTATTAAAGGTGTCATTTGTTTCAGGATGATTTCTTGGATGTTATTTACTGGTCCCGCCAAATTATAGGTATATTAATTGGGGTAGTAATGGGATTATTCCCTTTGAAAGGATTCATTGCATTGGCTTTGTAAGGCTTGTTCATTGAATAATCAAGATATTGTGCTGAGTTTTTTTTTTTCTTTTTCAGGTTTGCATTGATAAATTGTGCTATTGTATACTTGTATAGTACAAGTTTCCAATCAATTGACGAAGAAGCATATGGAGGAATATGGGAAATCATCAAAGAAGGATTCATGACCTCGTTTGCTTGCTTCCTTGTAACGTGGATTATCTTTTATACAGGAGTACATTTTGATCATCTATCTACTGAAACGATTCACTAATTAGGGCCCATGCATTAACTATGTCACGCTAAATCGAGCAAAAAACTGGTTGCTGTTTACTCTGACGAAAAATAAATCACAAACAGTGCTGCTTGTTCGCAACATTTTCTTTTGGCGGGACTTTTATTATAACATCGACCCTGTTTTTTTCGAAAAAAATATTCTAAAATTTCCGAATTTTAACTTAAAAATTGTCGAGGAACAGCGCGGTGAAAGCAACCGGTGAACACTCGTGTTTATTTCAGTTACCGTGTGGACGTAATTTGTGCTGAACCCCGGTCCCTTTCAAATTGTATCATTATTTATGTACGGTCCATATATTTGAAATGACGTTTTGGCCGATTTTCATTCGAATTATCGATTAACGAACCGAAAAGTAAAATATTTGTAATCGGTTATATCAAGCCGATATAAGCATTAACTTCTCCAGAGGATCATCACCGATCGTTTCAAACATGTGCTGCACTCTCATTGGTGGAAAAATGGCAGCACAGCGAACAAAAAAAAATCGATTAGTTGTTCATCGAGTAATTAAAAAATGGGACACCTCTGATTTTGGTGTGTTTGTTTTGATCCAAATGAGCGCAAAATTTCATCTTCACCGAGGGGGCAGCAAAACCACAAAATTACCTTGAATACGAGGGGTATTCATTGAATGAAAGGGACCGTGAAAGAGGGCACTAAAATAGAAAGTTTTTCTTCCGACAGTTTCATCTTAGGCTGTGAACCATTTGCCGAGTTAAATTTAACTCGTGGTTAAAAGTGACATTTCGAAAGTTATTTTTGATGTTCGAAAATCCCTGTGCTGTCGATCGACCGGTGTTCGAGAAGAACTCAGCCACGGTTGTCAACATTTAACTTCTTGTCTGTCAGAAATAACCCCGCTCGGATAGCAGGGTTAATCGATAACTTTCCATCTGTCATATTTTAACCAAAAGTTAAAATAATCCACCAAAAGTTTCAAAGCCTTAGTATTCATCTTTGGTGAAAGGATGTTACACGTGGACATTGCAGAAGTGTGGTTTACATCTCACTGCAGTCTGAAAAAAATATCGAGAAAATCTACCCAAGAAAAAATTGACTAAGTCCACGTAAACAGTACCACTGAACTGTCATCAGATTGAGGTTAACCCCGACGATGCAAAACCTAATGTTCTATAGAAAAACCACATAGGACGTTTTGACAAGTCGAGTTGTACATCGGACATTTTACATTGGACGATTTTTCTCAATGACATAATCAATGAGTGTTATATTGGACGTTTTGTCTACATGATACTAGATTCCCTTTCACAGATTTCAGAGTATAGTACCTAACTTTAGATTGGCCCGCCTTTGGAAAATGAGCACCAATCATGTTAGGCAGTCCGAATGACCGATGTAACAATCATGTATCCATCATTTCAAACTGTACATTGGACAATTTTTGATCAATGATTATCTTAAATAAATGAAAGTAAATTTGGATCCTCTCACGCAAAGAACGACTGTCCTGTGAAGGAAGGTCCTAAGAAATTTAAATGTTCAAATTGTGGTGAAAACCACAAATCCAATTTTTGGGAAAGATCCTACAATCTCGTTCTAACCGACAGGTAGGAAACGCTCCACATTTCCGACCAGGTACAAATTCCTTTGCTGTTAACAACACAAAAACAAAATCCATTGGCAAAAATACTATATTGATGGTTTAAATTAAATACTCCCACCAATAGATTTGTGCAGAAACGAAATTCATTTAATTTTACTAATTTTTCTATCAAAACTACTATACCGTTTGAGTAACGATAGTAGTTTTGACAGAATTATAGTAAATTTGAATATATTTATAGTAAACTACACGGAGACCAAATTCGTTAAGTTAAGATAACAATCCTAATAGTTACTTTCACATGGAAAAGTATTGTTGTTTGAAAGAAACCTATAGTTATTCCAACATTAATTTGACCGTCAAATCAATCATATCTACCTAATAGATTCAACTGTTCATCTTATACTCAATTCAACTATAATTTGATAAATTATAACAACCGTCAAATTAATTTATTTATATAATTTGGTTTCAAGTGATCATCATAAATCCACATCCTTTTAACTTGTGATGCGTAGAGCAGGCCATAAGCTGGCTCTCACGCAGATGAACACGGTTCAAATCTAAGTTGAATGTTTATGTTCACTTTTTTATGATTTTGCAGATGTGTAAGCAAAACAAACTTTATTTAATATGTCGATAATGAAGAGTAGTTCGTTTAATGAACATTGTAAAATTTTGCTTTTCTAACAATAGTTTTCTTGAATCAACTAACGCATAGTTGTATTTTGAAGTTTGGCGTTTGTTCATCTACTGAAAAATATAGTTGAGCCAACCGAGGAGCCAACTATGGACTATAGTTGTTGCCCTCTATATATAGTCAAATCAACTATAGTTTCGGGTTATCTCTAAAACAATTGAACAATATAGTTATTTTGACCGGAAAAATAATTGCGTCTGCTATAATTTGTTCTCCGTGTATACTGAAATCATGGTAGATTTAACGGTATTAAGCGATAACATCAGGGGTGTGTGGATTCATGCAGAACATGCAGGGGTGAGTGAAATAGCTTGGGACTGCTTGGGACCGTTGTTCTGGTACTGAGTGAGCCAAAAATAATAATGATTTTCTTCGGGACCCAGTGGTCTTAGAGTTACCTCTATGGTTATACTGAAAATAAGTGTTTTCTGCAAAATAGTATTCCTAACTATTCTCTTTATTTCAGTGAACGCTCAGCGAGGAACAAATTCTACATTCGTACCCATAGGTACAAATATCACCCCTGCTTCAAATTTTTCATCTATACCTACTCCCCTCGCTGCTAACAATGTTCAGCGAGTTAATGGAGCTACCTATGCTGCTATTGCAACGGGTAGAAATCAAAATACTAACCAACTTAATTCTAACGGAAATTTTGACAATTTTGACTTAGGAAGCATTACTGCCCCTAAAATGGAATTTTTACTCCATGTTTGATGGTATTCAAACTGGAGTAAAATTTGCAAACAATATTGTCATTTCATTTTCATTTTCAAGCACAGAAGGGGGTCATAGGGCCAAGTCACCAGCGAAAAATCGCTGTCCATACTGCACCAGGGTAGAGGTATAGATTTGGCATCACAGAATAATAACCACAGGGGTCAAATGAATCCTGTTTACGATACCGGATAGTAAGGAAAGCTGTTGAACATAGGGGATAGTCAGAGTAACAGCAATAATAGTGAAAGTTAGGAAAATAAGCAGGTAGAGATGGTTGATTTGCAATGGCTATCGACTCTGTTATATGGCCTACCGTATCAGATTCAAATTTAATGTCTTTTAATATTGCGCTTATTACTTTTATCTTTATTCTAAGCAATCTCCTCTCATACTTGTTTGTTTTAAAGTGAACTGGATGAAATGATTGTTTTATCAAAATTATGTTAAAGTTAACTACTATTCATATTTGCTAATTAATACCTAAATGTAATTTTTAATTTTATGAAGATAAGTTGCTCAGAATAGCAGCCTGTAATTCCGTACCAGAATCCGCCTCCAATTCAATGTCTTTTGTGGATTCGTAGTAGCAAAGTTGTGCTAAAAGCTAAATAGTTACCTAAAAATACTCCCTAAATTGTTCACAATCAGAGCCGGGCCACTGATGAAAACCAAAACTACAACCCTGAAAAAACGAATCGATATTTTCGAAGGCGAACACAACCTATTCTTGCTAGTGATTCTGTACAATTGTTAGGTATCCAAATTATAGTCATTCGTAATATATGGATGAATATATGGATGAATTATCTATTATTGAATAACTATTATTTACGATAATTACATGAAAGAAATAACATATAAACTACAAACAAAACGTGACTACTAAAATCTCAAAAAGATATTCTCACAAGTATATTTCACGCAACCAGGAATCTCAAAACCATTAGACGCTATAATGATACTCTGCACATGTTAGACACAAGAGAGGGCCAAAAAGCAAGCGTCCGACACACAAAACCCGCCAAATCCACTGGCAGTCACAATCAACGATTCTACGAATCGCGAGCGCTCACGAATCATAAAACCGCTGACTGCGACACTCTGAAAGCGAAATTGACAGGCCTTATGCGTCAAACACCCGCCCTCCAATCTCCTCCCGCATCCAACAACACAAACCTCCATTACAACCATTACAACATCTAACGAATTCAAAACTCCGAAAATCACTCATCTATAGAAAGTGAGTGGAAGCAACCCTGCATGCAACTATTCTTCATGATACGCTTTGTCTGTCTATCTTTCTATTAGGCCTGTGGACATGTGTTAGCTTCGAAACTTCTAACCAAACTAGGAAAATTTTGAAATCACAAAAAAAAAATTCAAAGGTAATTACAAGCAAAATACATATTGATTATTTTACGCAAAACCGAGCAAGTAATATTAAATCTCTTGTATTGTATGCTAATGCTAATTGACTGTAACAAAAATAATATGCTTAAATAAAATAAAATATTAATAAAATGATATGCAAAATTTACTAGAAGGTCATTACTTTATTGGTGAGAAGTTTCTAATAAGCCCTCCCAGTTCCTCTGTATACAGAACAAATCTGATACTATAATCAGAATTGCTCAGTCTGCATGAAGCAGCCGATTGCATCAAGGAAGTTCTATTAACAACCAAGAATTAATCGTTTGAGCTATACTGAAGCATTAAGAAGGTGATATGTGTCACTATGGGAAATCATCATCGTTGCAAATATAAAGAAATTAAACATAACCCTTTGCTTCAGTACCGTCAACCTCCATGTCCATGGGGAGGGAGTAAAATTTGCAAACAATAATGTCATGACTTTAAAATTCAGTAATGGATTTTAAAGCATTAAATATTTTAAATTGGAATGCTCGATCTCTTAAAGATAATGAAGAAGAGCTATTTAACTTTTTGAAACGTTCCTTAAACCTGACCATAACGTTAAGAAGGACTCAAATTATTTAATTTATAGAAATGATCGTCTTGATGGACCCTGTGTGTTCATAGACGAATCAAACATAAAATTCTTTCTTCATTTGAAACCAAAGTTTTTGAAACATTGGGAGTTGCTGTTGAAACAAAATTTAGACAACTTACGTTTATAGCTACCTATTTATCATTGCAATGCGTAGGCCAGCAAAAGAATTTTCTCAAGGGTGACCTTCAGAAACTTACCCGTCATAGGTCTAAATTCTTCATTATTGGTGATTTTAATGCAAAACACCGCTCATGGAATAATGCTCAAAGCAATTCCAATGGTTATATTCTGTTTGATGATTGTTCTGCGGGTTATTACACTATTCAATATTCAAACAGCCCAACATGCTTTTCTTCTGCAAGAAATTCCTCAATGATTCATGTCAACTTTGTAGCAAATTGGTAACCCATGCTGACTTCGGTTCTGATCACCTACCAGTAACTTTTGAAATATCCAAGAAATAATTTGTAATCCCAACAGCTCTACTTTCAATTACCATAGAGCTGATTGGGAGCAATATCGAACATTTATGGAATATAACTTCGATCCAAACATTCCTTTGCAAACCAAAGATTAAATTAATTATGCTCTTGAATCTCTGACTACTTCTATAGTTGAAGTAAGAGCTGCCTCAGTACCAAAATGCGAGGTTAAATTCGATTCAATTATAATAGACGAGAGGAGGGAGGAGTTTGGTAAAGAGAGATGATAAAACTGATTTGTACTTTCCTAAAAGTTGTCTAGCTCGCTTTCTACTTCTATATGCAATTTTCACACTGCCGTACTCTAAACGGAACTATCAATTCTATACTTCCATCTCCTCATCTATCGTGTAAAAATTACCACTTTAGTCTGTTATTTGAAATTAGCATCTTCTACTATGTAAATCGTTGACTTCACGCAGAAGTAATACTAAACATATAGTTAAAGTAATAATTTCAGACAAAAATCGTGGCAATCCTCAATTGCAACGATTAATTCCCTTTATACTTAGATAAGATTTAGTTTTAGTTTTTAGTTTTAAGATTTCAATTGTTATACTGATATGCAGGTTTAAAAAACCTGTTTAAAATACTGAATTGCCAAGGCAGGAACAATGTAAAAACACGTAGATATATATCATAACAATTAAGGCTGGTAAGTTACTGTAGTAACTGGAGCACCTAGTAACCTAATAATTACATGTAATTTGTTTTGAATTTGGTACAAATAAAGAGTTAAAAAAAAGCAGTGAGGAGCAGAGGGTTGTAAAATTGACGCACCCTAGTGGCCATATGAAATTGCCCCTTTGTCCTCTAACCATTCTAGAAATTTCACAATAAATAGAAAGAATTCAGAATCATTTGACGCTGTTTATTAAGTGAACTACGACATAGAATAACAAAATCAAAGCTTACCCTTTCCTAAGAGTAGGTCCTGTATTTCTATTACGCGCGTGGTATTGATATCATCGCCTTTCAAAATTTAGCCCTAGGATATTTCGTGCCTGAAAATCAATTTTATTTAATATTTGAGTTAAGTAAAACAATGTAGTTCGATTGATACTCACGGTGGCAAAAGCTGAACCAACGGCATTTTGTATGTGCGACGTTGCACCTTCTGATTTTACCAGAAAATCATGCACTAAACTAGCTTCTTCTATACGTCGTTCCAAAAATTTCCAAGTTTTCTCGAAATCAGTCGAACTATCCTGTAACATGTACAACTCAGTAGTTTTGTAAATACTCGCTAGTCCAACGCGCCTAGTGTACCAATTGAACTAGAATAGAGAAAAAAATGCATCAATATTGCCACACAATTCCCAATTTTCGTTGTTTTGAGATGCAAAAATATATTTTTTGAAAAAAGTTATAGAACAAAAGATGTTCCATACAGTCTAAAACCATCGAGTCAATCAAAAAAGTTTTTGTTTAAAATCAATAGTATTTTGATTGCCTTCTTATAGTTGCTCAGTTGAATTCTCAATGAATAATGAGCACATGAAGAAGTTTAAATAAGAACTGACTTTGACTATATGTTTTTAGTATTACTTCTACGTGAAGTCAACGATTTACATAGTTGAAGATGCTAATTTCAAATAACAGTACATGCAAAGTACATAACTCTGGATGGGAGCATACCATCAATTACTGTCAATGGTCGAAAGGTACAGTAGCAGCACCTACCCCACCCGTGTCCCCTGCAGATCGTCAAGTCGACGATGACAGGAGCACATATCGTGGTAGGGGTAAACAATAGTTGCAATTTCCAAAACCTACGACTGGATGCCTTCCTTCAAATAACAACTGAAGTGCGGTAAAAAATCGGTAGAACTGTTTCAAACACACAGTTGGTATTTGAGCGGGTCGGTTTTCATCTCTTTTTGCCAGTGGTGGCGGGGAGGGGGGGGGGACACCCCTCACCATCCCTCTCCAAAGGGGGAGTTTGGTAAAGAGAGATGAAAATAACCGATTTGTACCTTCCTTAAAAGTTGTCCTTAGCTCGCTTTTCTAATATCTATATACAATCTTCACACTGCCGTACTCTAACGGAACTATCAACTCTATGCTTTCATCTACTCCATCTATCGTATAAAAATTACCACTTCAGTCTGTTATTTGAAATTAGCATCTTCAACTAAGAACTGACTATTTAATGGTAGATTGACAAACATGAGGCGGACCAAGAAAAAAATCGTAAGAATTCCATAAGCCGTGACCTAGACCATTTATGTTTCATGTTACAGGCATGAGTTAAGCATCCAAAAAGCACGACTTATGAATGATTATCGTACTATATGAGGTACTACGAGTGATTCTAATACACCTAACGGGTTCGATGGCGGTCCACTACAATTTATATATAATATATAGATATATATATATATTTTTTTTCTTATTAGGGTGACCATTTTCCTGTTAAGGTGGCCCAAAATTTTTCATTTTTTTCCAAAAATGGCATTTAAAAAAAATCATAACTTTTGAACCATTGAATCGATTTGAATGATCAAAATATCAAATGAAAGGTTATTAAAAATACTTTTCAGAAAAAAATATATATTTTTTTTTGGAAAATGGAGTTTTGTATAGAAGAACTTTGATTGTATTTGTTTTTATGGTTTTCATGGTTTGTAGACAATGGGCGTAACACGATTTTTTTTTTTTTTTATTTAGACTTTTCTACACAACATATAAAAAAATCAGCGATGTATTTTTCTTCGTTTTTGAGTTACGATTTTTTTGAAATTATCATGTTTAGAAATTTCGCTCATTACTCCAATACGACTAGATTACCCTGCGTCTCCAGTGGTACATAGCTGACATAGTCACATAATCCATATAGATTTTCTGCTTCTGCTTTTAGGCTTGTTTATTCAAAGTGAATACTTCAACAAGTTAATAGTTACCTAGACAGAGCACATGCTAAAATCATACGGAAAACGGTGTTCGTTCGTAGGTACAATGCATGGTGGTATATTTAAGGATGAATTTAGTAGTTAAATAATCAGTAAGGAAACAAAAGCTCTGTTAATCCAAAGATATTCTGTACAGCCAGTGTTTTATAAACGATGAATTTTAAGTGTTCTTGTTGTTGTTTGTGGGTTTCAAATGCGTTAAAGAGGAATCTTACCCAAGCTCTTCAAGTTCATGCGGTGAAGAAAAAAGTGAAATTAGAAGGCAGTTCCTTCATATGCAGAAATTGATACCTCAAACCGTATAAACCCGCACCCGAAGAGGCCACCGCTGGACCATCCGGAGTTCCTGCTGTCAACAGCCAAGGTGAATATTGTATTTAAAAAAATGTATTTCATTCCTAGTCATGAGTCAAACGAGCATGACATCACATTATAGCAATCTGAAAACATTGTAACGTCAGGCTCAAATGTAGTGTGTTTACAGTATTGTCAAATATGTTTTTTTTTTACTACATTTTCAGGGTCACTAGAAGCACCCAGTTTACAATCGATCAGAAGTACTGACAGTGTGCCTACTACAAACGATGATGAAATCATTCAGCAACTCAAGGAAAAGTTTCTAGAAACTCATGATAATAATGAGAAGTATCGCATTCTTACGACTTTACCCAGAAGCTGGTCAGCAAATAAAATAACGAAGGAATTCGGTGTTTCTCAATATATGGCGGATCGGACCAAAACACTACAGGAAGACAAGGGGATAATGACGACACCAGGAAGAAAGCTGTGCAGGGCGTCTTTAGCAGAAGAAACTTCATCACTCCTGCGTGATTTCTATACCAGTGACGAAATAAGCCGAGCCTGTCCAGGAAAACACGACTATGTTATTACAAAAAAATGTTGATGGTAAGGTTTATATACAACGAAGATTAGTAAAGGGTGATACGGTCAAAATTTGGTCAAGGGAAAACGCGTGTAAATCGGTGAAATCGTTTATTTAAAAAATCAAATTAAATTTCTTTTTCAAGTTCAATTAGTATAAAATTCAGGAAAAATATTCAGTTAGGCTTCCGCTTTTCCAAATCCGAATTGCCGGGCCTTACGCTTGACCCCTGCCATCAGATTTTGTACAGCCACCTTGTCCACCTTCTTCGCCGCAGAAAGCCAGTTTGCCTTGAACTGCTGCTCGCCCTTAGCAGTTTTTTTGGTCTTCTTTAGGTTCCGCTTGACAATAGCCCAGTATTTCTCAATTGGGCGGAGCTCTGGCGTGTTGGGAAGGTTCTTGTCCTTGGGAACCACCTGCACGTTGTTGGCGGCGTACCACTCCATGGCCTTTTTACCGTAATGGCAAGATGCCAAATCCGGCCAAAACAGTACGGAACAACCGTGTTTCTTCAGGAAAGGCAGCAGACGTTTATTCAAACACTCTTTCACGTAAATTTCTTGGTTGACAGTCCCGGAAGCTATGAAAATGCTGCTTTTCAAGCCACAGGTACAGATGGCTTGCCAAACCAGATATTTCTTTGCGAACTTTGACAGTTTCATGTGCTTGAAAACATCTGCTACCTTTCCCCTTCCTTTTGCCGTATAAAACTCCTGTCCCGGAAGCTGCTTGTAGTCGGATTTGACGTAGGTTTCGTCGTCCATTACCACGCAGTCAAACTTCGTCAGCATCGTCGTGTACAGCCTCCGGGATCGCGCTTTGGCCGTCGTATTTTGTTTATCATCGCGATTTGGAGTCACTACCTTCTTGTAAGTCGATAGTCCGGCTCGTTTTTTGGCTCGATGCACGGTTGTAGACGATACACCCAGCTTATTTGCGGCATCTCGGAGAGAGAGGTTAGGGTTTCGCTTGAAACTACCGGCAACTCTCTTTGTCGTCTCAGCGGCTTCCGGTTTTCGATTTCCCCCCGATCCAGACTTCCTGGCTGTCGACAAACGTTCCCCAAACACTTTAATTACATTTGTAACGGTTGATTTGGCAACTTTTAGCGATTTTGCCAACTTTGCGTGCGAGTAGCTCGGATTTTCGCGATGCGCGAGCAAAATTTTGATACGCTGCTCTTCTTGCTTGGACGGCATTTTGACAACTGAAGAGTGAATTCCAAAATCAAAATAGGAGCAACATTCTACACACACACACCTTCAAAATGAGGGGTGTTCAGGTTTTTTAAATGCAAAATTGAAAGAAATACGTCAAGTTGATATTGACCAAATTTTGACCGTATCATTCTTTATTGTGCAAGAAGTTTATGCCATTTTCAAGGATCAATATCCCGCAACTAAAATAGGGTTTTCAATGTTTGCAAGTAACCGCCCTAAGCATTGCATTCTGGCAGGAACGAGTGGCACACATACTGTTTGTGTGTGTGTTTACCACCAAAATGTTAAATTAATTTTTAAAACTCTTCAAGATAGAAAGTCACTTCCAGCTGATGTGAAATCATACCATGTCAGTGACCCTCTTGCCAACATTCGCTTACATCATGATTGAAAACCGTTGGTTTTGGGGGGGTGTATGTTTGTACAATACGTCGTATATATGTACACCTACCCTACCGGCGATACACACATTCACACAAGCAGATACAAATGATACCGATGATAACAATAAATATATATCATAGTTTCACTGCCTCTGCCATGGCAGGACGGCAAAGCAATCGGTGTTGTTTTATTTTATATCCGTAACACAACGTAGGGATCCCGCCCGTGCGCGATCAGTGATTTTTCCGAAAACTTTTAATTTGTTGTACAAGACGCTGTACAAGGATTTCACTGGGCAAACGCACAGTGCACTATACATCTATTTGCTATTTATTATAGAGATGATCATACCAAAGATTTAATGTTCACTAGTTTCACTGCAATCGCGGAGTTTACCAAGCACAACCATGTTTCAGTTCGATTATTCGTTGTTAATTGTATAAATTTCATCAAGAGTAAGATACCCAGCCTTAAGAAAATTCACTTTTTCTCAGATGGATCAGGCAGTCAGTACAAAAAAAAGATGACAGCTTTTAATTTGTGCCATTTGAAAAAGGATTTTGGTATAGACGCGGAGTGGAACTTTTTCGCCACATGCCACGGTAAAGGTCCATGTGATGCTTTGGGAGGAGTCTTGAAACGAAATGCTGCTAAAGCAAGTTTGCAGGGGCATCTCATTACAACTGCTAAAGACCTTAATACATGGGCAATTTCTAAAATCGATTCAAAAATGCACTATGGCTTTTTTCAGACGCAGATCATAAAGCGATGGAAAGAAAACTTAAAACTCGTTATAATCATGTCAAACAAATTTCCGGAACACAGTCATATCATAGTTTTAGGCCAGAAAATGAAAATTATATTATTGTGAAACGATTCTCGTTCTCAGAAGAAGAACATACTGTGAAACTTTGAAAGTATCTTTAAGCATGTTTTATGTCTACAAACAATAAAAAAAATAAAAATAAAAAATTAATGAATTTTATTTCAAACTAGCCATGTGAATAGTTGGAAACCATAAGATTTAATATAAATATATTCTATTTGAATTCCTATGCTATGAATCACTGTAGTAATTATTATTAACACATAACGCAAAAGCAATCAATAAATTTGATTCAAGTTTCTATGAATGTCATGGTAGTCTAGGATCAGAAATTTAAATAAGTAAGTAATGTAACCATGTTACATTCGATATGTATCAATGGAGACGCAGGGTAATCTAGTCGTATTGGAGTAATTATCGAAATTTCTAAACATGATAATTTCAAAAAATCGTAACTCAAAAACGAAGAAAAATACATTGCTGATTTTTTGATATGATGTGTAGAAAAGCCTAAATTTTCAAAAAAAAAATATAAAGCGTGTTACGCGCATTGTCTACAAACCATGAAAACCATAAAAAACAAATACAATTAAAGTTCTTCTATACAATACTCCAATTTCAAAAAAAAAAAAATTTCTGAAAAGTATTTTTAATACCTTTTATTTGATATTTTGATCATTCAAATCGGTTCAATGGTTCAAAAGTTATGATTTAAAAAAAAAATGCCATTTTTGAAAAAAAAATAGAAAAAAATCGATTTTTTGGACCACCCTAACAGTTAAATGGTCACCCTAATGAGAAAATAAAAAAAATTCGGGTCTAATATTTTTCGATAAGGAACAAAACTGCCAATTGTTACGAAATTCTGAGAACCACTTTATCGTTTTGCTATGGAATGGCTGTATGTACAGGGTGTTTGGTTCCGGGTTTTACATATTTTCAGGGTAGATAGGGCTCCTAAAGTTATATAAAAATCCCCATGAAACATAGGGTCGGAAATGACTGCTAAGTGAGTTATTCAACATTTTATGTTTTTTTGTATTGCCAACTTTGGTTAGCTATATTTTTTAATCTTAATGTGGTTTTCTAATTTCAACATACCAAATGTAAGATTAAAGTCTTAGCTATCAATGTTCTTCGAAAAAGAACTCGATTAAAGTTAATTATCATACATTAAAATTGAAAAGTATGTTGAAAGTGCCAAAAAAACTGGTGAAATTTCATACATTTTAGTGTTTTTAAGTTGAAAATTTTCATTTCTGTTTATTTAGTTGTTCTACAAAACATGTTCCATGCAGTTCCCTAGATTTGTGCTTTTGGTAGTAAACTTGTAGGCTTTATGGTTTCTTCGTAATTATTGATTTAAGACAGCCATAAAAACTTGTGACGTTTTCATAAAGTACGCTATAGTCACGTACGTTCGGCTGTTGCAGTGGACTACGCACATGAAAATTTGGTAGAATGTTATTGTAGATGTTTAGCTACATTCTTAACTTTTGATTACCACACATCTCCTGGGCCGAAAGAAAACATAACTGCGGAGATGTTTCGCGGTATCGAATATTGCTCAGTCTCAGCAGAAAACACAACGAGAGACACCGAATCGGCGAATTCTGAGAGCGGAAGGGATAGAAGTAGGTAGTGGTAATAATTCGATGTCCCTTTTATTTCATAGCACTCGCAGCTCAGCGAAGTGGAACCAGAGCCCGAGGTTCTGGATCGTATCACCTTAAAACAATTTCTATGTAAAGATCCCTTCAGACCGATCACGTTTGTCATAATGGTCTTTGGTTTTTTGTTCATGATTCCGTTATAAAAAATCTGGGATTTTGAACAGTTATCTGAAGTCAATGACATGGAAAATTGGTAACTACACTGCAATGCTTATTTCTGTTTGCAAACTTTGTAAACATATCAAACAGAAATGGATAAATAGTGTATTACTGAATTATAAGTGGGGATAGGTGGCATTCACTAGCCCGAGAATACCCTCCACATGCTAGCCTCTTCACCAACCATACATCAGTACACACTTATCGAGTCAGTAATTTTTACCGAGTTTTTGAATTGCGGAGCTCCTCGGTAAAATTTAAAAAATCTGTGAGAAATTCAAAGTTGAGAAAATGTGTTACGAAAATTTACAGACTAACTTCTGTTAACCCCGCGTAATGATGAAAATTTTTCGATTTTATCCAACCTTTACGAATAACAGTCATTTGAATTTTAACCGAGTCAGTAATCCAAAAATCCAGTAAAAATACTAACTCCTGTAAAAAATCTAAGTGTGTATACAGAAGCAGCGGAGCTCCACACTCCACAAACGAAACAGCACCGCAGCTGAACTGCGAGTGCTATGAAATAAAAGGGACATCGAATTATTACCACTACCTACTTCTATCCCTTCCGCTCTCAGAATTCGGTGTCTCTCGTTGTGTTTTCTGCTGAGACTGAGCAATATTCGATACCGCGAAACATCTCCGCAGTTATGTTTTCTTTCGGCCCAGGAGATGTGTGGTAATCAAAAGTTAAAAATCTAGCTAAACATCTACAATAACATTCTACCAAATTTACTACCAAAGGCACAAATCTAGGGAACTGCATGGAGAACATGTTTTGTAGAACAACTAAATAAACAGAAATGAAAATTTTCAACTTAAAAACACTAAAATGTATGAAATTTCACCAGTTTTTTTGGTACTTTCAACATACTTTTCAATTTTAATGTATGATAATTAACTTTAATCGAGTTCTTTACTAAAGAGCAATGATAGCTAAGACTTTAATCTTTCATTTGGTATGTTGAAATCAGAAAACCACATTAAGATTAAAAAAATATAGCTAACCAAAGTTGGCAATACAAAAAAACATAAAATGTTGAATAACTCACTTAGCAGTCATTTCCGACCCTATGTTTCATGGAGATTTTTTCATAACTTTAGGAGCCCTATCTACCCTGAAAATATGTAAAACCCGGAACCAAACACCCTGTATATATTTTTTTTAATTTTTTTTTTCATATATGCTAACTTATGAGTTCTGTTCCATGAATAACTTATGATTTTCATAAGAAACCTTTTTCTCGAAAATGTATAAGTGGTTCTTATGGAATTCTTACGTCTTTGCCTCAGTGTGGGAAGGAGAGGGTTAACAAACCTATACATACATCGACAGAACGGTCACCAGCATAATAACAAATATCATCTACTAGAGTAAGGACATTTGCCAATGAAGTTGGAACATTTGGTGGTAGCGTCATGAGACCTAACGCCTGAGGCCAATGTTTCAAGTATGGAGTCAACATTCGTAATCGCACTTCAATTGCCTTTCTTGCAAATGATACAGGATCAATTACTTTTTCTGTCCCGGAAGTTTCTTGTTTCAAATGTTGTACTAGTTTTTCGTTGCACTGTCTGTAGAAAAATTGGACTAACTCTATACCACCTCGCGGAAATAATCCGTTAGCCACGCTGGGATAATTAACACTCTCAGCACCTTTCGCAATGGCTTGTTTGGACCAGCCATGGGTAAGAACAAAACCTAGAGCTGCATTCATAATCGATTCCTTTATAGCTAAGACTTTTTCATCGTCTTGGTCTTCTTGTTTTTTGTTATTGTTGTTCGGTGAATTTTGGTGTAACGCTTCTTTTTCTTTTTGCTCTTCTCGAGCTCGAAAATCATCAAAACTCTCCCGTGGCTGGGAGGCGGAGGTGCTGCACATTTCACTTTGAATACATTGATAACCAATGCTGGGTTTAAAATCTAGGTTGTAGTTCCCACGGCATACTCGAAGATAGGAGCAAACGGATCGTAATATGATACCTGTAATAAAAGAAAAGGGTTTATAGTATAAAAGCAGATTTGAACGTTGAAATAGATAAAACAAACACGTTCGATCATACAACAGTGTTTGAGCATTACTCTTGGCTGATTGTAGTGAATGACCAGTGAAATCTCAACAGCTGAACGTTCGGTAAACAGTTCGGAGTTTTTTGTTCGAAGTTTGTGCAAAATCTCCGAACGTTCAGCCACAGACAAACAGACATAACACATTGAACATTTCTCACAGTAAAACATCGTCGCTAAAACATTACCGCCATCTGTTGAGTACACTGTGTGGGTAGTACGCTGAACAGATGGCGGTAGTGTGTAAACGTCAAATGCAAGGGAATTGACTATGCGCGCTACAGGTGGCGGTACTACCAACTATGATACTTTTAAATTGACCGTTAAAAGCATGTTCGATGAATAGCTTGCAAGAATTATGTCTGTTTGTCTGTGGTTCAGCTTTGATATTTCGGTAAAATTTCACAGAAATCTGTGAATAATATTAGTGTGTAGACTGTCTTGCAATGAGCACGTCACATTTTCACCGGAAATCATAGGTATGACTTATGATATCAATAAATATAACCTTAATCTAAACCATGGTTCATGGTGGTTAGTAATGGAACAAACTCTTGCTATTACAACGCTCCTTGTGGACGTTTTTGCAAGCTTTTGAAGTATATTTGCTAACATTAACAGTGTATTTTTTCAATTCATAAAACGCTTTTATTTTCAAGACAGTCACCATGCAAAAGGAGCGTAGAAAAAAAAATCGTGCGCAGTCACCTGGAAAACCCATTGTGGTCCGCGTCCAAGCTGTCCAAGTGTTGAATTTCCCCGAGAATTTCCCTAAAAACACTGTATGGCGCGTGCTCAAAACGTACAGGAAACCTTGATGACGAATCGGAAGCCTCAAAGTAAACGCCGGATTCGAACAGCCATCCATCAGCTCCAGGGAAAGGTCGTGAGGTCCATCAGAAGCAACCCAGGTGTTTTTTTTTCCTTGAATTGCTTTCCGTCGATCTTGTTTTCCGTGCTTAGCACCAATGCTACCGACGCCAGGAAGGCAGCTTCCACACCTGGACCCTACCTATCGACCCATCAACTCATGAACCGGGGACCAACGGCTTTACTTCCCTTCCGAAGGAAGGCGTGATCAGAGATGTTATGCCTCAGAACATCCCAGCGGCGCCGACTGGGATTGAACCCAGGCCTGCTGGGGTGAGAAGTAATCACGCTTACCACTACACCACCGACGCCGCTACAACCCAGGTGTGTCCGATCGAAATTTGAGTAAAAATACTAGGGGCACGCAATAATCTTGAACTCCGACGTAGGCAATGGCTGTAATTAAATTAATTTCATTACCTATTGTCATTAATTGTTTTAAGTACCTTTGATTGCATTTTAACTTCAACGCACCGGTTATTTTTATTGCGTGCCCCTCGTATAATGTAAGATGCCGAATGCTTACAGGCATACCGCGCCAGTATTTAGGCAACCAAATCGATCACTCAAGCAGATAACCGTAGCTAGAACCCGTGCTAGAAAGCTGTATGACAACCTGCTGACCAAGTCCGGTCAGGCTCGATGCGTTGATTAAACATCCTTTGGTAGTCTTTGCTCAAGTTATAGAGCGTTTAATCAGTGCACACTAACGCACCATTTAAATTGAAGGAGTGCGAGCAAGAGGGAAACAGATTAGTGGGGAAAAAACCATACATTCATCCCTGTGTGCTGGATAGAGAAAGATAATTAAACGCCAAAAACGTCTTGACCAATGTTTTTGCTATATACCCTTTCTTTTACTACTGACCTATAACGAATATACGTTGTGTACGAGTACCCCGAATACAACGTAGGTATATAGTATTTCGTCTAATTTTACATTGCAAATTCTATGCATAATTGTAAAAAAAAAAAGAAAAAAAAATAAACAATGACGATGTTCCTTAATAAGTAAAAAAAATCTACTTAAAATAGATCGGGTTGCTCCTTAAATGATTGAGATACGATCAAAATACGTTAAAAATCGTAAAATGCTCAGTAAATATTTAAAGTACGCTCCCTAAAATAGAGAAAACTGTACATTAAGCATTTGAAAATGCTCCTTAGTATGCACCGCTTTGCACCATTTTGAAGTGTAATTGTACCATATATCATCGGAAAAGCTGCTGTAGAAAGGTTAATAAGTACCATGAAATCAGCTGAAATGTTCAGTAAAAATGCACAAATGCACACAATGATTTACTGAACATTTCAGCTGATTTCAGATGATGGCCTTTTGAAGGTTTCCTCCTTGCCAAAAAAACACACACACACACACATTACAACCATTTCGCCTATTAAAGGTTTTTCTTAATCCAGAATCAAGAGAACTTTTCTAAGCATGAGGTATTAAATTAAAATAACTTCAAAGTTTCATAATTTCATTTTCCTTCTGAGATATCGGTAAACTTTCTGTGTTTGAATCAACTTGGAACTTTATTTTCTGGAAATAGATGTAGAACTTCTTTTGAAATACTCCTAAGAATGCTTGTGGAATTATTCACACACATTTCGTTTTTCTACCGAGCTCGGTTGTGCAAATCTCGGCAAAAGTAAGTTTCACTGAGATCTCAGCAAAAGTGACATTGAAAAAAAACTGAACTGTTTGCTGAGATCTCATTGAAATGAAACTGCTGAATTCTTTTCAGGATTTCCTTTGGATTCTCCTTTCTCTCTTGGAATTCTACTTACAAGTACCTTGGAGTTTTCCTCAGAATTTACTTTCATTTATCCTTAAAAATCCCTTAGAATAGTCTCCTCAAAATTACTTTGCAGTTTTAATCAGAACTTTCTTTGGAGTTGCTTTGAAATGCGCCACAGAATTCTCTTGAAAATTGCTTTTAACTCTACTCAGGATTCCCTTGGAATTCTACTCAGAACCAGAACTACTTTCACCTTACGTTTCGCTTCCCTAAAAAATCATCCTTTCATATTTACACTGAGCATGATTGTGTAGGAATTAATGCAAGAAAACTGTGTCATAAAATAGTTGAAATTACAACAATTCTAATTGTATTTACCGCATTTCAGTAGAAAGTAGCAAGCATTAGTAAGAAAGTATATAGTATTTTTAACGATTAATCGTAGTTGAGATTTTCGGTTGATAGTAATCGTTAAAATGTTTGAATCTACCATGTGGCATGCGATTGTAGACACAAACCATTTTCTTTGATGGTTTTTTAACCGCATTTGTAGTAGAATAGAAAGCTGCGCACCGACAATTTTTTGCTGACAATATTTTACGGTTTAAATAGCATGTTCCTGGTATTCTTTTTACATCCGAAAGTTTTAATGGAAGCCATTTGTAAACAAAAGCAAATCACCATTTCCACTATGCTTTATTTTCTCACGTCGTTTTAACGCTTTTTCGCGAGGTTCGAGGTGAAAATAAATCCGCAGAATATTTTCATTTCAAAATAATCTGTTTTATTCGTATATTGCAGTCGGAAGTAAAGTTATCCACCACAACAAGGAGCAGCATCATTTTGTCGTTAGGAAACAAACACCTGTGAAATGTACCGGAACAAAATACCTGCATTGGCGTGTGGAATAAACGGGAGATACAGTTTGATAATTTTATGTTGATCAATAGGAGAAACCTGGTGCAGTGCGAGTGTCTGTTTTTGTTTATCTGGGTTAGGCTCGAAATAAGATCCAGGTAAAATCTGCAAAAGCCAGTGCACAAACCCCAGAAAATACCCAAACCCCGAGAATTCCAGGAATTTGTTTGAAATCTTTCCCTAAAAATTCATCCTTTCATATTTACCTTTTAATCCAGGAAATTCTTTGAATTTATTTGAAATCTGGGTTCTGTTCGAAGTTTGAATATTTATTTTCATTCCAGGTTCTTGTAAATGTCTGATTTGATTTCATTAGGTAGAAGATTTAAAAAAATAGTCTAAGTTCAAAATCTGTGGAAATTATCCATGTTCCAGAATATTAAAAACAAAAGAATTTATGTTGTTACTAAAGATAACTGTCCTAACTTAGCTCAGTCGGTTAAAGCGCAGCTACAATGTGGAAGAGCATTTAGAACACTAAGTTGAGAGCACTCAAGAAGCCAATATGCGATAAGCAATAAACTTGAAATGCGAAGAAGAAGAAGAAGAAGAAGAAGATCTCAAGATAAATCCACTCCATAATTATTATGTCCACCGAATGAAATAACGAGGAAGATAAATTTGGATATTGAAGTAATGAAATAAAAACAGCAAAAAGGGATATCTTCCATTGAATTCCACTTAATTAATTTTGGTATTCATGACAGATACGTATTTTGACTACAATGTGCAGTGTCATTCCCACTAAAGACTTATCAAAAACCTAACCCCCTTAAGCACTCATCCCCTAGGTAAAAATTTCAAGATCACAGGTATAAAAATGAAACTACAACGTGTAGAATCGGAACCTACCTAACTAATAATAACCAAAGATTTAAGTAAAGTACCAAGCCTTTGGGAATTTGTCCTTATTAGAGATTTGAATACATTTTTCTCCAGTTTTGATCAGAAAGAGCTGCCCTAATTCCGCGCAGCGCCTAATACCGTGGGTTTGACAATAAACTTGAATATTTGTTTAAATATTGATTTTTAATTATCCCAAACGTTAGCATATGAGTCATCTTTACTGATGTATGACAAATTCAACAACTGGTTACACACGTAAAAAAAACAAAATATTGATTGCGTTGCATTGCGTTTGTAACTTGCTTAAGACAACATATCAGCGGCGCCGGTGGTGTACACGGTTAGAAAAAAGTATCCAACGGCCAATTCACTTTTACTTACTTTTGACCTCTCACCTCAGCAGGCCTCTCAATCCCAGTCGGCGCCGCCGGGATGCTCTGAGGCATAATATCTCTGATCACGCCTTCCTTCGGAAGGGAAGTAAAGCCGTCCCCATTGGAGGGGGTTCCAACACTCCGAAGGGTATAAATAGCGGGCCAT